TATATATTTAACAGGGTTATTATGAAGTTCAAGTATATATATAAATAAATAAAAGTATCCCTCACAATAGCTGGCAGAGGACATGGGCTCAGTGAAGACGGACATCATTTCCCTATATTGTAAACTGTACTGAGCAGTTGCAGCCCAGTATCGCCTTCAACCTCGTTAGAGAGTTGAATCTAAGTTTTAGCCATTATTTACCCAGAACTCTGAGACCAATCATTTTATCTCTCAAGGGTAAAATAATGAGGGGAGCGGGGGAATTGAATGGTTAGATTAAGTTGAATGATAACAGCTCTACTAATAAATCCAATAAATATTCATATAGTCTTGTCAAGGTGAGTCTTGTTAACACATGAAAATAAAAGCATTGTTATGCCTTCTTGGAAGTAATATTCATTGTCTGAATTTCATTAAGTTTAGCATTTGGAAGTCATGTTCATTTTATCCCTGAGATATTAAAACCTCCAGAAAGATATCTATTAACATTGAAAAGGAATACATTGTGCTATCTTAAATAACGTTCTGTTTTGCTTCTCTGCGTTCTAATAGCCATTGCAATGGTTACACAGAACTCACAAAGTTCATGATTCCAGGCTCTATTAAGTAAGTTAACAAGTTGTAATGCTAGTGAGATCTACTCAGGTTTGAGTGGTTTATCCGGTCATGTTACAAAGTTCTTTCAGGTCTGCAAATAAGTGCCCAACGTGGCATACCACTGCACTGGAAGCCTCACCTGAAGGAATTCACCTTAAGCTCCATGGGTCAGCAAGCCCAACTTCCTGAAGTATGGGCCCAGAGGCACCCCACTCCAGGAAGCCTCAGCCTTAAATGCTTCCAGATTAAGTGTTTTCCCAGAGGCACCTCACTCTGCAAAGCAGACTCCGGCACAAAAGCACTCAATCGTACTTGCTCCTGGGGTTGGGAAGTTCATCAGTCTGTTCCATGCTGTGGCCCTGGTTCTGCTGCTGCTCCTCCGATGAAATAGCTATCTTCTGGATCTGCCAGAGGACACTCTACTTCTAGCTCTTCCTGGTAATGAGATCTCCTTCTTCTCAGAGGGATCGTGTTATGTACAGAAGGATTCCATTCTAGGAAATCCTGTTAACCGCTGCTCACAGGTGAATCCTACCAGTATCTTTCCCCCCATCTTCTTACCAGACTCATGCAGGAAAAGGTCCTTGGGTGGGAGCTAGAAATTTTGATTCGAAGAGTCACATTAACTCACTTCCCCTGTATACATATCTAAATCTCCGTAAGCAGTATAGCCTAGGAGCCCCTGTGAAGCAGCCACACAGGATCTTTATGAGCCAGAATGGACATGATGACACCTGGCAAAATCACTCTTCTTCATGAATGAGATGCATTTAGTAGTCTCTTAGGTAGCATGGGTATGTGTGGTAGATCTTCAAATGCAAGAACTGGTTTCTTGTCCTTTTCATAGAATATAGCATATAGTAGTGTATAATATAAAATAGCTAGCTAGCATGGTATTAAAATAAGGAAACAAAAGTTCCAACAGTTGTGAACCAGTTAATCTCTCCCTATTTTTCTAGCAGTTACCTGTGCTTGTATGTTATTTATAATGTGTTATTTTTCTTTTTTGTTTGTTTTTTCATTTTAAAAAATGTTTTCACTTTTTTATTGTTAATTGCATGAGAGAGCGGATTAACCAATTGTTAACTGGTTTAGAGTCAA